GAGACCTAGAAGATCGAGTCCAGCCTTTGTCCCAGCCCTGTCAACCTACTAAATGATTCCCCCCAACACAACGTCAACATATTTAAGTGTGTATTAAAAAGATGAGCCAGATTGGGATGGCATTTCTCGGTGCAGAAAGTAAAAGTCAATCATCTAAAAATATAAAGATGATAGAAATTAAAATACAATAAATCTACTATTCTGGAGTAGTCATACCTACCCAAGATTTACTCTGCCTTTACTTACACAACCATACTTAAGTAAAATAGTAATACTCTGACTAGTCAAATGAGGAATACAGGGAGGTGGAGAGAAGAATGAAATAAAATCCAAGGCTTGTTTTGATATGCCTTCACCAGTGATGAAGGAAGTTGAAGAAGCAACTGCAAACAGGAATTTGCTTCTGCTTCATAATTCTGGTTCAACGCAGTCGGATGCGTTTGACTTGTTGGACTGCAGAAAGTTGGTTTAGAAGGAGCTTGATCCATCCTACACCTATTTTCCTTCAGTCCATCCCCTTACAAGCAGCTGAATGAAGACAGTTTGAGGGAGTAACTACAGAGTAAAGGAGAAGGTTGAGAATCAGGGACTTGGTAATCTGAGCAGGGACTCTGCACTGACTTTGGTGTTAGTGCATCTTCAAAGTGATAGCAGTAATATTAGAAAATGTAATTTACTCTTTATTTTAAAATATTTAGAGGTGTTTCAGCTACATTTTCAACTTCTATTTTCATTTCCTCTTTTCTTTGAAGTGGTAGGGATCACAGCGGGAATAGAAATGGACATTGCTGATGATGATTCTTTTAGGATTGTCCAGCTTCATATCCTCATGTGTTAGTCCTTTGACTGCCTTGAAAGAAATTAATTCTACTCTGGCTTTCCAGGAAAACTCAGGGTACAGCACATTTGGTACCAGAGGCCTTAAAGCTGTGCTTGATGAGGTGGCAATTACTGCTTCTGTGACTTACAGATGGTGGTTAGAGATGCCTGTTGAGCACAGTGGACTGCAGCGTGGAGATCAAAAGCTCCTGCCCCTGATCCAGTGAACCTGGGTCATCTGGCTCTGTATTATATTTGATATAAATATTGGATCAGGTTTGGAGGCAGGGATGCTTGTTTTATAGTCAGGCCCTATGAAATGCCACAGCATGTTGCTTGTTGGATTCAGCTAGTTACCCTGAGGGTTGTGGCAGATCACAGAGGAGTCTGATTTTAAAATGTAGTTTTCTGAGTGGAATTTGCTGCTGCAGATGAACACTCTTTTGACTAGATGAATAGTGTTAAGGGTTGCTTAAGTACGGAAGTTTGACCTAAGTGTTGACATCACTTCTTATTCAAGCTGAGTTCATCTTTTTTTTTACAGCTATCAAGGTTGTTTTTAAGGAATTGGTTCCTGTTTACATGTTCAACGTAGGCACTTTGTACCCATCACTGCTAGCTGATGACAGCCTTGTAAGATTTTGGATGTCATTCTCTAAAAGTTAATCTGACTGGTATCAGGAGGGGAACTGTAGCTCCTAAGCCTTCCTTGATATAAATTTCAAAACCAGCTGTTAATCCTTTCTCATATTCCTACAGTAGACTATCAGAAGTAAAATTTTCCATCATCTATTTTCTATTTCTTATTTTGAAGTCTGACTTTGAGTAATACGTTATTGTAGAAAAAAAACCCTTTTAAAATTGTGCTAGTTTATTCCTAATTCTATGTAGAAGTAATCTGTAGATGGTATTATGTTGGTGAAAGTGTGGTGTATCTATACTGATACCTTTTGATTTTTTTATTTTTTGCTACAATTTTTTGAGCTTTTTGGTTGTCCACAGGAGTTATAGGACGGAGTGAAGATGTCCATATAGATAGGTGAATGAATTTCACACTGCTCAACTTTTTTTTCCCAAAACTGGTCCTATTCTTCCTGCACTGTTGCAGTGAGTGTCATTCAAAAGCTCTGGAGACAGCACATAATCTCAGTGTTGCTCCAGCTATATCGTGGTTTGTAATATTTTTGACAAGACGTAAGAATACTTTACAACCAAAATCTACAAAGTAGAAATGCCTAGAGAAGTCAGCCTAGCCCTGGCAAACTGCATGAGAATTTCAGGTCAGTGTAATTTTGGAGCAGAGGGCGATGGTATGCTAACCCTTGAGCAGAACAGCTGTTTGGGGTTGTTAGGAAGATCCTATGATTTCATCAGTGCTGTAGTGGCTTTCACACTTCCCAGTGTGGGGGGACCCAAGGCAGTTTTGAAAACCGAGTTCAGAAATCTCAGTATCTCAATGAATAACTTTGCTCGTGATGTGTTGGTGATGATACAGGACAGGATTTGATAGCCTCTTTGATTTTCTATTCCCTGTGTTGCGGTAAGGCTGATAGAGCTTCTTCTGTGGCAGGGAAGAGTGGAAAGTTGAAAATAAGAGCAAGCGTTCCCCTAAGAGGTTTTTGGGATTAAGTTGATAAATATGATAAGTGATATCTCAAAAACTAAAACAGTTTTTCTTAAGGTTTATTGTTTAAGTGAGAAGGAAGGGAGAAAAAGCATTTTTCTGCTTTTGATCTTTTAGTCTTTCCAACATCTACATTGGAATAAATTTAAGGAAACGTAACAGACTTTTGTATCAAGTTTTTTCTTTTCTTTGGGATTATAGCTTTGTTTTTAACACTGCAAATGTTTGTATTTATGGGAAAATGGGAGGACTTTGGCTACAGAGAGTACTTTTTCCCTCATATCCTTTTCCCTTTGAAGAACTGGACTTTCCATATGGATACCAGATAACATTGTCAAAGTGCTTTCTATTTGCTTTAATGTTTTGAATAAATTAGCATTAATACCAGGCCAATAATATAGAAATAAATTGAAGCAAAAGATGATGTAGACAAAAGAATCTAAAAGATGAATAGTTCCTAAAATCAGCATCATAAGCAGAGGAGGGACTAAAATGATTAATTTCAGTGTTGACATCACAGGTCTTAAAAACAAGCTGATTGGCTGTTCTAAAATCTTCAATAACTACACTTTTATAAAAAGATACAAGAATAGGCATAAAAATGTCCTGAAGTTTTGTAGCCATCTTGGAGTTCAGCACCAGATTAATTTAATGAGGGTGCCTTGTATGCCTTTTTGGTTATACTAGTTTCCATTTATATTACTGTGATCCCGAAGTAACTGAAGCTTATCTGGTTGGCCAGGAAGGAGTTAGTACCTCTGGTTGCTTGAAAAGGATAAAGATATGAAGGTTTTATGTGGAGCCCTAATTCAGTGTTCTGACTTGCCATCATACTTCTTCCACTGTCTGCAAAAACCTTATTGCACTAAGACTTTGGGGAGAAAGGGGAAGCTTAATTTTTTATTCTTATGTTCTATGTTGAAGCTACTAATTTTACCATGTGCCTGAGATCGTTGATGGGATCAGTAGCTGGATGAAGTCAGTGGTGATGGGAACTGCAGCAGCAAGAGGGTCTTGTACATCATGGCTACCAAATAAATAGAACATTATTGCTCTGAATAGGAACTATATAGCTTTGCATTGAACTGAAAGATTTCAGGTCATCTTTTTCTCTGATAACTGTATACTTCCACTGTATAAGTTGTAGGTCTCTTGGGTATCTGTAAGACAAAGTATTTGAGGATGTTTTACTGATAGAGTATGAAGAATAGGTGCTCACCTGAAATGTAAACTCTTGAAGTGGTTACCGAGTTAATACTGTCTTTACTGCTTCACTATGAAGCTTACTTTATTGGCCAGACAATTGCTTTCTGGATAGCCGTTATACCAATTCATGTTTGATGTTTTAATCCTGCTTCTGTGGAAAGTCAGCCAATTCCTACACTTCTATTGTAAGGGTTTCAACAAAGCTGCATATAAAACGTGGGATTTAAAGCAATGCTGTGTTACAAATTATGAATGTAACAATAGGAAAAGACTGTTGTGAGCCTGTTTCAGATGATGTTTACAATTGCCAGTATTTCACAGTGAAATGGTGATAGAAGCAGGGGGGAATGCTGGTGTGAAAGTACTATTCTGTTACCAAATGTCTTGTTTCAAGCTGTGGGTGTATATGGGCTTGGGAAAATATCTGGACTGAACTCTTTATTTCCAGTAAGTCTGAAGAAAACACCTGATTGTGGTGTTTTAGTTTTAAAATCTGTTGGTCTGTTCACAGAAATGAAATGAGTGGATATGGGACTTGAATTGAGAAGCTCAGTTTCCCATAAGAACTCCAGAAGCCAGGGATACACCAAAAGCAGCCCCCTTCTTCTCTCTGCACTTGTCAAGTGTGCAGTGTTGAACCTGGCCATAGGAAGGGACTTCGTGTCTGACTTTTTCAGTTATTTGAGACCTGAAGTTCGGTGGATCCAGTTGTTCTCTTCACTTCTTTGTCATAAAGGCTGTACTTTTCAAGGCATATCTGGGTAGAGTTTTTACCTTGTAATACTCCTTGAAGTCAACTTAAATATAGGGAAGTAAAAAAATCTTAGAAGACTTTGCAGCCACTCATTAATCTGTGGAGACTTGAAAAGTATGAAGGCAGAAGTTAGTCTTTTGTCCTGACATTGTAGCTGTGAATGCTGTTGTTTATGTCCGAAATTTTGCAAGGTATTCTCACCTTTGAAATGTGTCTTGTGTCCAGAGTCTGTCTCACTATACATATAATACATATATAAAATCGTGTGAGTATAATTGCATAACTGAACATGACATAAATTTCGGTGTTAAGAAATGCTGTCCTGTCAGTCAACTATCTACCTCTCATCTTTTAATACTTGTATGCTGTTAGTGCACAGTGTAAATCTTTGGAACTGGTTAAACAGAAAACTTTTTCCTGTCATTTTGTGTGTTATCCTAGGGTTTCAGTTTGGACAATAAAAATTTTAAGAAGCTTCAGTAGCGTAGACACGAAAGACAATATTCCTGTGAAATAAAAGCCTTAAGTTTCTTAAATATGGATCATGAGCATGCGCTTAACTGAATTTCCTTTAAAGCAACAACAAGATACAGGACTATGCTTCTGGTATTTTACAAGACGAATGACAGGTAACCTTGTTCTGCATCCAGATGTGCTTCATCCCTGGGAAGAGTTTTTAGTATAGTTTGTAGCACAAGTAATTCATCCCTTTGAGAAGTTAGTGTTGGGTTTTTTTTTATGAACGTTGAGCAAACTACAATTCTATATAGGATCGTTTCAGGAGAGGGTAAAAAAAACCCCAGAGTAATTTCTAGAATGTAATTCAAAAACAATTACAGAGAATCCTAGTTGTTTTGATCCTGATTTCTGCGATGTAGATGGATCAGTAATACCTGAATTAACCTGCTCTGTCACAAGCAACATGCTTGTGTACAAGTGGATTGAGCGTTTGTACCTTATGTACATGATGCTCTATTACTTGTTCAAAATCTATCTTACACAAAAAGCTATTGTCATGATGTTTTACATTCTTGATCCATAACTTTTCTAATGTTGTTTTTCTTGACCTCTGTCTTTAAGTTGTTTTAATTGACCATGTAATCTTGCTTACCACAGTTGCAAAGTGAGAAAATTTTGTTTGTGTTTTTTTTCTCAGTTCATGATCACTTCACATATTGAGCATTGTTGTCTCTTTATTTGTCTAAACTTTGAATTTACTGAAAGACAAAAAGTGAAACAGTGGGTGTACTATTAATGCTTTTGTAACAGGAATCCAGAGTTTCAAGTGATTTTTTTTTTGTCTTTTTTCCCCCAAAGACAGAAGTTGTATGATTGGTTTCTGAAAGTCCATTTTTATCCCTCCAACTCAATAAACATCCTCTCAGATCCTCAATTTGTTTCCTACTTATTCCTTCAAAATGAGATGAATGGGTTTGATTCTCCTTTGCTAAGGGAGCACTCCTTGAGAAAGAGCAGTAGGCAACCAGCGTGTGTGTGTGTGTGTGTGTCTCTAAATTATGTGTTTCTTATCATAGTCTTGTTCTTTTCTGCACGGAGATTTCAGTCCTTCTTTGTGATCTGCTGTTCTTCTCTGTTAATAAATGTATAGTCTACCTCCAATTTTCCAAGATTTGTATGACTGTCTTTTGTTTAAAGATCAAACATACCACTTCTGCTTTCTGAATGTCAGAACTACCACATTTAGCCAAAGGTGTTCTTAAAGTTGTGAAAATATATTTGTAACAACTAATGGGAGGAGGAAGATTAATTTTAAGTAGACAACTTATTCCAAAACACCTCTTGTATTTTGAATGTGTCAAATTTATTGCTTCAGTTAGATCTTTTCTGGAGTTACAGAAGTTTAGCTATAGCATATACAAAAAGGTTTCTGCTTCAGCTGCAGTGGAACTAGTTAAAAATAATACATGTGACAGTTTTGAAACAGCTTATGTATGGCTGAGAAATAGGAATTTGCAGATAGCACTGTTCTGTTGTATAATGTAACTGACGTATTTTAAAGGAAGAATTAAAACTTTAAAGCTATACAAATCAAAATACATTTCTTTCCCTTCCCCAAGGAAATCCCTTCAATAATCGAGTAACTTTACCTTTACCATATGTCATATGTTGAACTTTCGAGGCTGTTTGTGACTTGCTCTGTTTCTGTATTTAGACTTTATTTATATACATCTCTTTGTGGTTTCAGCTGCTTAAAACTTTAGTCAGTCAACTGATTTTGAATATATACATTTATACTTGGAAAGTTGACAAAATATTCTCCCTCAAGCACTATAAATGAAACTGATTATTGGACCAGTAGTAGTTAGTAATGCACTTTGGAGGATTATACTCATGAGTAATTTTTAAAGGACTGATGCAGATAGAGGGGCAAAAAAGCACAAGTATATAGCATATATATTTATGCAATATACTTGCAATTACATAAATATATAATTGCAAGTATATAGCATATTCTCAAATGTTTTTCAGACCTTATTATCTTTAAAGGTTAGCATTGATCTTTATATTAAAAGGTTGCTAGGTTAACCTTGCAAGTAGTCATAGTACTCTAAATTAATATACGTAACATTATTTTACCTTAACCAGTAAATAGACTTTTTAATCCTCTGCTTTGAACTAATTGAGGGACAATTAAAAAACGAGCTGTTAAGACAAATCAGAGTGGTGTCTAAGTCCTGAAGTCCTGACACTGCCAAGAGGCTACCTTTCTTTTTTAAATGCTTCTTTACTTCTTTACTGTTTCATTTTTTGAAATACATTAAGTGTAATGAGGCAGACAGGTTATTCTTGCTGGAATTCTTCCTACTTTTTATAGACTTCAGGAGACTCCATTTATGGAGATCACAAACACATTTCTAATTTACATCAGGGATGTCTAATGAACAACAATAAAAATATACTGTTAGCATTAATTAAATGCTCAACCGAGCCTTTTGGATGTGCTTCTTCATGCAATAGAACACATTTTAGGAGTCACAAAGTTGACCCTCAAGTTTATGTTGTGTATCTGATGTGTGTTTCCTGAATTGATGGGAACTTTTTTGAGGAAACATAGCAAAACGTGTCAAAAAACTGTTACTAGCAAATTTTTACACTAGAGCTTCAGGACATTTTAAACCATACTGGTATAAGTAGGGTATGGTCCAAATAATTGCTTCCAGGAAGTGGTGATGTGTTTTTTTTCCAAATCGTTGAAGTATCAGGGAACTGAAAAGTGTTGCGGATGATCTCTGTAAAGAGTTTGCCAAAGGAGCTGCTTTCTGCAAGTGCCAGACTGGTTTCTCCGTACTTACATGCTGTACTGTCAACTTCTTGGTGTCCTGAGGTTGTCGGTCTGTTAAAGCTGGCTGTGAGAGATGTAACAGGACTATACAATTCATACCAGTAGGCCTGTGTCTGAAATTAATAAAAATGGAGGAAGAAGTCTTAGGCTGTTCGGAGTGTGAAGTTCTCCTTGTTGTGGAGTAGTACTATGACTTCTCGACTGCCAATCAGGAGTTGTAGTCTTAGACTGAAAGTGCAAACTGTTCCTGTAAAGTAGAGAAAATGGAGACACACATGGAGATTGCAGCTTTGTACTGGGTGACAGCCTTGAAAAAATTGTATGGTTTGTCTGACATTTCTTTTTGTGTTTCTATATGGAACAGTGAATCTGTTTCTGAATGGTGGTCTTGGGACATAGTGTGACAATGTGTCTCGCTTAATTTTTTTTTTAATCTTATACTTGTTGATGTAAGAAAGACAGTTACTCAACTTTTTTTTTAAAAAAATCTGTTTTCATTGAAAGGTATTCTCTGTTTTATAACCGTTTGAAGAACATCGAGGAAAATGAAGGAGGCCTTGATAGATTTACAAAAAGTTACAAAACCTTTGGAGTCAACCAATTTGTGGATGGTGGAATATATTGCAAAGAGTGGGCACCCGGAGCAGAAGCAGTGTTTCTTGCAGGTGACTTCAGTAAGTATTTTCAGAAATATTTCTTCTCTCCTGCACTATGTTTTAGATCAATATACTCTTCACTTAACAACAGTTTTGTGGCAAAGATGAAGTTTGCTTTATATTCTTTTACTGATCTAACAGTGTTGTCCAACGACCAAGGCCCTTCAGAATTCTCACCATATGAGTGTAGACAAAAGTCCTGCTGGAAACCTGAAATCAAACTGTCATACTTACAAAAGAGTAGATGGTATTCTATTTCTAGGGAAGGAGAAGGAAGGATGTTAGCCAAACAGGAAGGTGACAGGGTTACATGGACAAATTGCATTGCTTACTGTGACAATTAGAAAGATGATTCACTTACTTTGAACTTGAGATGAAAATACAAATTTGCTCTGTATTTGTAAGGCTACCTACACTCAAACCATGTTCTGTAAATTCTTAAGTTGCAATGGTACGCATTTTTGCTCTTAAATCCTGCAATGCTAATTCTGTTCTCTCCTTTTAGTTTGGGATTTGGGTTGTTGTTTATTGTTTTTTTTCATGTCTATCCCTTCTTCAGGTTTAGGTATTAGTCCATCAGTACTGGCTTTTAATGAATTGGGACTTCATCTGTGGAATAATTTTGTTCATTTACCTGCATTTCAGTAGTATATAGTGTTATTCATCCAATTTTTGTTTTGTGGAAATACTGGCTTGTTGAATGTACTGTCTGTATTTCTATTAAAAAAAATTTCTTCCTTACTCCTGCTTGAATAAACTATTAAAAGGACAAGCTGTGTTTGAGCAAGGAAATCATAAACTTGAAATTGTACATGCTTATATAACTTTAAGACTCATTACCTATGCCATTAATTGTAGTATCTAGTGATCCTTTCTAAAGTACTGTGGTTAAGCTTCTGTAAAAATGTGCGCATTAATAAAGAACTAAATGAAATACCCTGGCAGTGTTTTTCAGATTCATTGTTAGAACTTTTTCAGTGCTTCATAACAATCTGGTTTAGTATTTTTTTCCATAGGCCTGATATCAATACACTTAGAAATAGAATAAGCAAAAGTGTTTAAATATTCGTGCTATGCTTTAATTTCCAAACAGAGTAATAAAATGCATCTATTTTAATTGTCAGAAATTTATATTTTCTCTTTAAGAACTCAATGAGAAGGTATGTGTCCAGTATTCACTATAATAGTTTGAATCTACAGATAATGATTATTTTTAAAAACATCTTTTGGGTTTGAGTCAGAAGATGAAAAAGTTAGTGCAACACTGGTTTTGGCCATGGTCCTGTTTAGTATGGTTAACTTAGTGAATGATAGAATAGCTTTGCTTGAAATATTCCTTGTCTTTTTATTGGAATAGACCTTGATAAAATAAGTTATTGTAGTACTTGAATCAGGGAATCAGGTATGTCCTGATTCAAAACTGAATAATGAATCATGATTATAGTTCACCTCCTGCTAGGTAATAGTGATTTCAGCTATCAATACTGACTACAAGACAGCTAGATGAGAATATTTTAATAGCTTAACTTTTATGTGTATAAACACACAGAAAACTCATCTCCTTACCCCTCCTCTACTCACTGGAACTCCACCCATTGCTCAAGAGTGTTTGTGATGTGATGGGTATAATAGTCTTTAACTTAAAATTACTCAGTACAGTTGCAGACTAGAATACATTTGTTTTAAATATGTATTTTAGTAGATGGCCATTTTTAAGAATAAACTTTTAATGAAATGGATGGCTAATATTTTTAAAAGAGGATATGACTTGTAAATTTAAATTGGCTTGACAAGTTGGTAGGGAAGTACACATATCCCAGAATACAGTAGCTTGAAACTGGAATGGTTTTCTTAACTTTACTTCATTTAAAATACTTCATGCAATACATCATATGAAGCAGAAATTTAGCACTAGTATCTTAGAGTAGTTGTGTCTAGATGCTAATGAAATGTGGCAGTAAGAAGTCAAAAGACTAAAAAGGAATTCATTTTAATATGGAAAAACTGCATTTGTCCTATATATCATATTCATCAGTCACAGTAAAGTATTCATTCCCAAAGGGGAAGATAATGTACTCAGAAAGCCTAGAGGAATGGAAGATTGTCATTCAATTCAGATGAGCTTTAATAATACTCTGATGAGAAATTGGGTTGCAAAACCCTAAGATGGAGATTCAGGTTGCTACAGATATGTTTAATTAAAGTTGAATCCCTTTAACCTTTCTTTAAGTTTTCAAGCAGGTTAAAGTCTGAAACTAAATTTATGATTATATTGTATTTAAATTGAATATCAGGATTGCTTTTAATAAGAGGGGTTTTTTTTAATAAAACCTTTATAAAAAGAGAGCTGTAATTGAGCTATGTGGGAACAAGTTGGAAATCTCATACAAAGAAACAAACATAGAACTTAAATGACAGCAGCTCCTCAGGTTTTAAATTGAAATATGATGGTATATAATATAAAAACAGTCAATTCATATGTTCTTTTGTTCTCTTATAAGGAGATGGGTAACAGTATTTTACTCAATTATATGGTATTATCTGCAACTCTCTTAGATGCTTGATGGAAAGAAAAAAAATGACAGAATATATTAGTCCCTGCTATTTAATCTGATAAGTTTTTGAGGATCAGAAACTAGTCAAAATTATAATGGCAAGTGCAAGCTGTGTTAGAGAACTTAAACTTCTTTCAGAATTAATAATTAAACTGATAATTGATAATAGCTTTATTTTGAACTGTGCTTAAGATAAATTTGAATAACTTCTGTAATTATACACTTGTGAAGTCTCGGTCCTGGAAATGTGAAGTATTTTGTGAGCAACTTTTATGCCCAGTAGCAAACAAAAAAGCTTTTATATTAAGGTGTGTTGGCCCAAATTATGGTAGGTTCTTTTGCCTCATTCTGAGATACTTGTAATGAATGGGATAGCTACTATGTATAGAGTAATTTTTACAGAGTAATTCTTAGTATCAGTGCTCATTTCAGAAAAAAAGCTAAAATCTAGTAATAGCACACAAATCTGTATCCGGATTGGAGAAGAAGAAATCAGCAAAACACCAGAACTTTCAGAGTTTTTTTTTGTCTCTTTAAAACTTCATAATTTGAGAGAAAAAGGTATTATAACTCTTGATATTCTGGTATGATGCTGTATCTGAAAAGTATTCAATGAACATCCAAAACCATTAAGGTTTCTCAATTAGTACTTTTATCATCTCAGTAAATCACCTCTATGAGGCATTTAGATGAATTTCTGATACTAGAGGCAGTATCAACATTAGCAATCTTAAACTGTCAGTGATAACACACTGAATATTTGATGTGCTGTATTGCTGAGGAACTTGATGACTGTTGGCAATTTATTGCTGCTTTAAAATCGACTATTTCAAAATGAGCTACTGAACTGGAAGTTTTGAGGGTAGCCCACAGAATTTGTTTGGGAATTACAACACACAAAATTGTTTGGCCATGCAGAGACTCAGCAGGTTAACTGTAAACAATGTTTTAATTTTGTTTTTGAAAAGTTTCTGGCTCTAAGAACCTTGAAACAGTACATATGTATATCCTAGTTTGAAAGTCACTATTTGATATAATACCTTGCAGTACTTGTGGCTCTTATGTTCTTTAGTTTCCTTTTTTCCTTTCTCTGCCTTCCCTTCTCCTCTGACTGGGCTGACATTGGATCTAAAATGTTGTTGGCTCTGAAATGCCTGTTTGGTTTGGTTTCTGCTTCCTTTTCCTCGCACTAGTGGGGGATGCTTCTGCTGAGGGTGGAGGGAGTAGTAGACAGATTGTTTTCAAGGGGAGATCTATTTAATGGTCTGTTTTAATCTTCAGCATGAAGAAAGGGGAAAATAAGATACCAGCCCTTATAATATGGGTATCTGACAGCTGCAATGGAAACTTTTCATAGAATTACTTTTGCTGCCCAGACTTGGCTCAAACTTGTACCAAAATGGAGTCTAGATACTACTTTCTTCAAAGCCTTTTATGTAAAAATACCTAGAGTTCATGAATAAAGTCAAAAAGAGCTATAGTTCTGTGGCTGCAGGCAGCTGAAGGCAATAGACTGAAGTATAAGCTGCTATTAATATCCAGGGAGACTTCCTATCTAAGAAGTAATGACATTTGTTTTTATGTCAGTGTTTGAACTGTTTAATCACTTTTAAAGCAGATTATGTTAATGACCCTATTGAGTTGTTGGAAATCAGGCAATGTAGAAGGAGGAAGATGTAATTGGCCTCTGTGTAGAACAGTATAGTGTCCTTAGAGAATCTCTCCATTTATGTTCTGATTTCATATTCCAAGCAAATGGTATAAAAGTATCTTGTGGGATAGTGGGCTTTTGTTGTCCCTTCCCGTGTCTGAACTGCGATTTGTCTGATATCTTCTCCTCAAGGAAGCTGTGCGAATGCTTGCTGGACTTTATTCTGTTTGAGCATCTTTCAGTTCTTCAGAAGTATGTGGTATGTAGGAGTATAGTTGCTTTAAGAGAGGAGTTTATTGCACTTTGGAATTCAACCTTGGTTTATGAAAGTTTTTCATCCTTGAAAAAATAGTTACGATATCGGACTTATGTATCAGCTCTTATATTGAAACCAGTGAATGATTTGGTCAATATGCATAAAGTACTCCTTTCCCCTGTGAGAAGCAAGAGGAGTGTTGATTTCTAATGTGAAACTCCAAGTTAAACTGTGAGCCTCAGAGCTGTATGACTATATACTTTTCAATTTGAAAACAAAACCAAGAGGTACGGAACAAGAAGTCACTTAAGTTATGATTTAGCTGCAAATAATGCATTTAAATTGCTTTAATGAAATGTGACAAAATCCAAGCAATTATAGCTTTGAATTAAGTTCTAGGTTAAAGATCAGTTCACAATTTTTTGGTGCCCAATAAAGGTGCAGTTGTGAGTAAGAAGTTCTCTTGTACCTTGTGTTGCTGAGGTAGGATGTAATGTTTAAATAATTGTCTGGTTTGGGAAGATCTAGGCTATTCAAGATATCTTCTGCATTAAATAGGTATGTCAGGTCTGAACTTTTGTGTAGAAGCTCTTGTCTTTGTGTATGACTTACAAGTTTCCCATGATGATGTCCTCTTTTTCTAAAAAAAAACTATTGAGGCTGATTATTTGAACTTCTGCTGGTAAACTCAGCCGTTTTCTGTCCGTAGCTGTTGCCAGTCTTTGAAGTCTCTGTTCTCAAACTAAGGTTTTGTTTTTGTCTTTTATATTTTCAACTTCTGGAATAGTCTGGTAGTCAGTTTTTGGTTGGTTAGAATTTTTTTTTTCCTTCTCAAGGCATTTTTGGCTATGTTTTGCTCAAAAATATAAAAACTAAGCAGTAAAACTGAGAGGAGCCTCAGTCACTTCCACTTTGAAGGAAGCCTAGAGTTCTGAGGATGTTTAAACTTTACATGCCTCTTGCTTTAATACAGAGCGATATTTTTCTGTTATAACCTTCCTAAATGCTAAGTAGCAAACAACAGTTTTAAACAGGATCATGTGGGACAGGTGGGTATCGCTTTGCACTTACGCCTTAAGTCACGAACCACGGACACTTGATAATGAAGGACTATGGCTGAGGAGAGGAAGGATTAATGGGAGCATCTGGTACTGCTCATGGGTGGAGAGGAAGGTGTAAGCAGCTTGGGTGGAATAGTTAAAACTGCCTGTGGAGAGCAGAGATGCATAAATGGATAGAGGTGCAACCATTCCGCCTCTAAAGGAGGGAAGATGTGATTGTAACAGAGGTCATGAACATTTTAAGAGTAAGAATTCAGCGGGTTTGATGTATGTAATGAACTCAACTTCAGGCAGTTTCCCCAAGTGAACATTATAGAGACTAGGCCAAAGAACTTGTCTGTAACTTTTTATTTTGCTCAGTACTAGCAAATTGTCACCTGGCTTATTTGGTTCAGTTCATGCACTGTAATCGAGAGCTAACAGCTGAGCTCAAGAGTTTCATGAAAAGATACAAGGATGATCAGATACCTGAGGTAGGAAGGAGGGTTGAACACTTTTCATCTTCTCATGCTGTCCTGCCATGGGAGGCTGGGGTTGCACAAGAAACTGGGAGGGGACACAGCTGGGACAGCTGACCCTAACTGACCAAAGGGATATTCCAACCCGTATGGCCTCGTGCTCGGCATGTAAGCTAGGAGGAAAGCTGGCTGGGAGCCCCTGCTCAGGAACTGGCCGGGTATCGAGCGGCTGATGGTGAGCAATTGTTCATTTGCATCACTTGTTTTTCTTGGGTTTTATTAATCTCATTATTTTTCTTGTCATTACATTGTTATTATTCATTATTTCAGTTATTGAACTGTTCTCATCTCAACCCACAAGTTTTCTTACTTTTACTGTTCTGATTCACTGCCCTGTCCCACAGCGGGTGGAGTGAGTGACTGACTGGGTTGGGTCTTAGTTGCCAACTGGGGTTAAACCGTGACAGAAGGTCTTGACTAGCATAAATCCTAATAGGTTCCTTAAAACACTTTTCTGGCAAATTAAGATATTTGTACTTTTTTTCATCTTTTTTCCTGTATTCCCATTTTTGCCTGAATTGTTTATTTCAGACAGTTTAGCTGTTTGTAATTTAAAAGAAAATATTAGTTTTAATTATTTTTTTCCTCAAGCTCCAAAAATCATAGCAACACGTTCTACATTTTTTACCATTCCCTGAAATAAAATAAATGTGTATTATGGTATATAAACACTATATATAGTGTTTGTAGTTTTGACTTTTTTTTTTTGAGGGGGATGTCTTTATTGCTAGTGAATAGTTTGTTTGATGTTGATCTTAGTAGCCTTAAATGTTAGTAGTGCTTGTTTCATTATTTTGTTGATTGAAACTTTAGAGTAAAAGCAAGGGCAGAGACCCCTCTAAATCTTACTAATATACAAGCAGTTTTGCTGTTAATCAAACAACAGTTTAGTAAATACTTGCCTTCTGCTAATGTATGTGTTTTGTTTCCACTACCCAAATCCCTTAATCGTGATAAAAACTGTCATCTCAATAGAGTACTGAATTAATAGTATTTCTGGGTTCAAGCATGGGAAATGTTTTATTATAATGATCTCTCGGTTTTGATGTTGCACTCTACCGCAAAATGAAATACGTATATACTAGAGTATTTGTCTTACATAGTTATTTTTGTGACATTGTCTAGCCTGCTTGATTTGTGCCTTTCAGTTTTGTTCCTTAAAGATTAGCAGTCCTCAGGCTTAAAGAGCTCTGTAAGAGCAAGCTAACAACTTTGAAAGCAGCCTAGGTTTTCTCAGGAATTCAATATATCATACATGTTAAAGAAGAATATCTTTTTGTTGCGTAGGAGATAATATTTTTGATTAATGACGCTTAGAAAAATAGATATGTTGATGAGCGTAACTTCTTTATTTCTCTACCTCCCCTGTTGTGATTTCCATGGTGCCAAAAGTGATGATTCTGCTCCAGTGCCATGTCCTTTTTTTTATCGAATTGCTTTTAATCCTGAGCACTGTGTTTAGTAACAATATTGTTTTATACTAGCTTAAACTAGTGAAGGGATTACAGTTTAGGATGTGAACAGTCTGTTAGCTGCTATGGATCGTACTCTGTACCTCCTGTACATAGGAAGTCACTGAAGACTGCTTATTCTTTTGTTGAGGTGAGTTGGTTTTTTTTTTATGACAGGACATGGAATGCAGATAGATAGCGTGAAGGTACGCTAGCATGTGTTGCTTTAATGCCTTGCAATTCAATTTTTTTGTGTTGACTTTGTTTCTTGTTAGCTTAGGAGTCTTTGTTGCCTTGAACTGTGTGACAGACATGTTTCAAGGCAGAAAAAATAGTTTTCTACTTGGTTTGCCACTTCCTTCTAGCCTCAGAATTATTACATCGCCTAAGTCTGTCAGTTTGGAAGCCTCGTATTTGGTCTCATTCATGTGAGATAACTTGAACTTGCATACAAATGCACAAGACCTTCCTGGCAGCTGTGTGTTCAGGTGGGCATGTCATAATGACCAACCTTGCATGTCTACAGTATTCAGTGAATCCAAACAGAACAAAAAATCTTGAATTAAGGACTCTAAGCTTAGTTGAGTAAACTTTTTTAATGAAAAAGAAATCTTCAAGACTGACTTAAATAAAACTGTGGCGTTTCAGGCCAAAGTTCCTGGTTGTGGTGTCATTGTGTGGTATTGTGCAGTTTCCTAACTGTTGCTGCCAAGTTTGCCTTCAGTTTCACTTTTATTTTTCCTATTTTATACACTTGGTGAGTGTTAATAATAGGACATCAGCTTATCAAAATAGAGGCAGTGATCAGGATGTGTGTCCAAGCCTGATTTGGACATTAATTTACGTAGATTGTTCTGGGTTATGTTTTGTCCATCTGCCCTCTCTGTCATAGGCAGCTGCTGATCACATTTTTCCATAGTGTTATGACAAATACATCAGCTGGCTTGGACATGAGATTTTTGGTTTTAAATCTATGTTAAGCATTGCTTTTCAGCCATTAATTTTCATACCAGCATGAGTTTTGTGGTATTAATCTTTAGTATTTTTTAGTATTGTTTTCTGGTAGGAGGGTATTTGACTTCAATCAAGAAGGTGATGTAGAAATAATTTAATCATTGTTAAATTAGGATTGGAATGTGGTTTCCTAGTGAAAATCTTACACATTTTATTGAACCTTGATTGAATGTATATGGTACTATCAAATATAAAAGTACTTGTCTGCTGTCACTGAAGTTTATACTGAGAAAGATGTAACATGCTGTTATACTTTTTGAATTGTAATTGGATACAATTTTAAGATAAATATGTTTAGTATTATTTCTTATATTGCAGATGGCTGGAATCCATTTTCTCATCCATATAAGAAGTTGGAATATGGCAAGTGGGAGTTGTTCATTCCACCTGGGCAAGATGGTTATCCTCCTGTGCCTCATGGATCAAAGCTAAAGGTGTTGCTTCTAGACTTGTTCTGTCCAATTCTTGTAGCCCTTCTTACTCGGTTTTCCTTTTTCTGTTATATTCAGTTATTTTAGTTGTTCCAAGAAACAGAACCAATTTATCTACTTGTGCAAAGTGACCTCAATGAGTGAGACTTAACACGTAACTTTTTGTGGTGCTTATGAACAGGCATATGTGGCTGAAATGTGGATCTAGTTTATCATATCATGCTAGCAGTATATCATGAAAGCAGTATTTACATATTGATAATTTGAAAAATAAGAGTTAACCAGTGTGTGGGTAAAGTCTTTCTGTATTTTGTGCAACTACTTGAGATTAAGATCCTATTCAAATCTCAGTGCCTTGGTAATTTTTGTGGTCCTTTTAACCATGTCTCTTCAGATAATCTTATGTTGCTTTAGTGGTACATGTGAGTTGGTGAAACTTCTGCCTGTCCTTTCGGAATTAAGGGTATTGAGCAGTAGGCATAGGTTAAGTAAGTTAAACTAAATGCAGACACAGAGAAAACTTTATTTTATCATTTGTATTTCATGAGTATCCATAAGCGTAAAATTCTTTCAGAAATTAATGGGAAGTTTCTTTGAGCTGTCACATGCCACAGATGTTAAACTTAGTGCAGATATGCATAATGACAACTAATAGTTGAATTGATTATTTCTATGTAAATACTGATTTTACTTGGAGATGTACTTCTGAGAGTTTGAGTTGTTGCAGTCTGAGTTTCAGAGATACCAGATGCTAATATGGGACGGAAATGAGGAGTTAAGGAAAGAAATATACTGAACTCATCTATAGACTAAGAAAATTAAGAAACTGGGAGCATTTGTTTTCAGGGCTCCCATCAGGAAAACTAACACTCTGGAAAAAAAAAAAAAAATCATTTTTCTGCTGAAAATTAGCTTAGGTAAACAAGAAATATGCTGAAACAAAGATATGCATAAAAATGCTCTGGAAATGCTTACTTGATGTGTGTGTTTATCTCTATGCTTTTTATTATGGCCTATGAAATCATCCCAGTAATAAATATGGATAAATTGAAATTTAGAAATAATCATTCAAGGATGAGAAAGCTGTTTTTATTTAGAGAAGGAAAGAAAACAGTTGTCTGCAACTCAAATACAGTGATTATGCAGTTATACATGAGTTTGGAGAAAATTTAACCATTCTGCTTGGATTTGAGTTGTAAATAGGTTAGATGTTTTTATGCTGAATTTACCTTTATGTTATATCTACAAAACTGTTGAGCTCACCTACCATAGAATATTACATGCTCAATGAGGAGCTAAAAGGTGTGAATGATGAGGCGTGTTGATAACTGCTTACATAACAGCAAGAAGCATATATTTTTAAACACATTTGGAAAAACATAGTTACTTTTTTTTTGTCTGTCTACCTGTATAATCACTGGTCAAATCTATTTTTGAAGTACAGGTCTTCGTAGTGTTATCTTTCCATTCACCATTGTCTTTGCTTTTAGGAAGTTTATATTTCAAAGCTTCTGTTGCACATAATTTAGTATGCAGAATTTTTGACTACTTAATACACTTGGCACTGGTGTACTAGTAAGATGTTTTGCTGTAGTTTTGCAATTGCTCTGAGTCCTCTGAAAAGCCTTGAGACTCCTGCTGGCAAAGCAGAATGTGAGTTTGTTTTCCCCTTTATTGTTATAGAGTTTGTTTTTTCTACCCTGTAACTTCTTCAGTTGTGCTTTTGCATGGTTACTTTTAAACAAAGATGTATGCAGTTGTCTCTAATGCTCAAAGTGCATATGTATTTTGAATATATGTATAATATGTATATTCTTGTCTAAAAAAAAGCAAAGACTTAGAAACCTGTTTTCACAATCATACATATCATAATTGATGACTTCATCCACATGGAACTGTTCCCAGCCTCATCTGTAACTTTGCTAATAATCTTTCATGACACTTTGTTTTTGTTCCATGGTGCTTACACAACTGAAACTAACATGTCACATGATTTCATGTATTTAGATATAACTAATGTGGAAAAGAGTGTCCAGTTAAGGTAGTTCTATAATGGTTTATCTCTTGCAAAAGCTGGAATGAGGTTGAGATATTCCATGTGGAATATGTACATTATGCTACACCTGATCTTTTTATCTTCTCTCGTTCCACTAATGGGTTCAGAAAACTGTTGCTCTTCTGTGGGTTCTTTGAACTACATGATTCTGTTATATTATGATCATTCATAAATGTGTGTATTTTTTGGGAACACAAGGATTTGTGTGGTAGAGCATATGGTTTTGCAGTTCTTTGTTCATGTAGAAGGTGAGAATATTGATTGTAGATGGAAATTATTATGCCATTTGCAGAGCTGATGTTTAAATACACAAGCACTGTTATCTTTGTGTGCTAGACTAGGCAACAAAAACTCATTAAGTAATGGAAATATTGCTTTACTAAAGAAGCATAAGGGTTTCACTGGTTTTAAAGTTTCTTTTAACAATATGATTCTTAAATATTGAAGTTAAAGTAGGCAACTCTGGACTTCTATGCAGTGATTTGATTAATCTGCTGGGGGAGAAAAAAATCTCCTCCAGAAGATCCTTATCTTTAGCTTCTGTCTACACTGTTTTCACCTTCAATTCTACACAGGTGAATACCAAATTCTGAAATAGTGACAAGGTCATTCTTTTTGCGTAAGTAATTTCTAAGACAGAATGGGAAATGGATGGAGTGTAACTGGTGACACTAATTTAGATCAAGTCACAAACTATTTTTGAAGGAAAATAAATGAGGAGCAGGGATCAAACATTTGCCTGTTTTCAATAGTAGTAGACAGTAGTAGACGGTCTCCTGTAGCTCTTCAAGCATTCTCCCAAGTAAATAAAAAACATTGAAGAAGGTGAATAATCAAACAACTGCTGTAGACCTTGTGATAAGTTTCTGTGTGAGCTGCTTATAATAGTTGAGTGACTCCCTTGTGGATTGAGGCCCATCTACAAAATAAGATTACCTGCTTTTTTCTGTTTCTCCCATGGGTCGGTGGGGCGCAAAGGGTGAGTTAGGTGAATAAATATAGTTGCTGTTGTGGAAGCTGAGTACGCATTTAAAAAAAAAAAAAAAACAACCTACAAAAATTGCCAAACAAAACAATGCCCCTCCCAGGAAAAAAAACCCGCAACCAATCTGTATTTTAATAAGTTAAGCCTCTTTACCTCTGTTTCTTTATTCTAATGTTGGGATAGTTTGAAAAATGGTCTTGGACAACCAGTTTCGTTATACACTATCATATTTGTCATTCTAACAGTGATGCCAACAGTTGGGGGGGCCATGTGTGCTTATCTTTTTTCAAGATTGAAAATGACTGAATTCTTCCTTCCTTGTCCAGAGTATTCAGAATCACTCTTTCACAGTATACAAAAAGCTTTTAGAAAAACTGATGTGGATAGGCTTCCTTAGGAAGTCCTGTTACATGTTGTCATATGCATGCAGGATTTTAATCACTGTTCTACTTTGTTCTTTTACTGTTTATTTATGAGATTTACAACTGCTCAAAAATATCTGTAAATTCAGTTTTCAGTGTAGTCTGTAAAATCCTAATTTTGAAGTATTGTCAATGGAATTCAGGAGTGGGGACAGTATTGGCAAAAATTCAGATCTTATCAGCAGTAGGGAAGTGTTTAACGTTTTATGTAGGAATGCCAAGGAACAGCACAGAAAATGTGTAACAGTTGGAAAATAGAAGCCAATAAGAACTCAAACCTAGATGAAGATAATATCCAAATTCATGGTTAATGATAAAAGCTGTAAAATATTTTCACACAGCTAAATAAAAAAAGATGGTGAAATCATTACTTCCAAAATACTAGCAATTGGGATCGAGCTGCCTGCTGCCTTGGAACTTTGAATAGGAGGAGATCTGCACAGTGCTTTCTTTCACTTTCTAGTAATAACAATAGAGCTATGATTTCTGAAATAATTTCACAGACCAAGAATTTTACATACTAATAACTTTATATCTGATAATATGCAAGATAGGTGCATGAAGTTAAAAACAAGTCTGAAGTGTGATTCTGGCCTGTTTCTGTTGAGTCACAAAGGCAAGAGTCAGGATGACTGACGTGCCTCTCTGCAACTTTTACGAAGAGCGAGGTAAAGATTAGAAAGCTGTGTGTAAAATATCAGTGACTAAATTTGTTGTTTTCTTAATAATGATTTCTCATTAGTAACTTCCTCTGCTTTTATGTAGTTGAATGTAGATAGATAAAAGTAGAAAAAAATCCTCAAAACAAGCAAACAAAAAATGGAACCCTAAAACAAACAAAGAAACCCAAACCCAACCAACAACAAGACAACTCCCAACCCCTTGCAAAAAAAAGTATTTTACAGTTAATTTTGATAGGCTTTTAACACAACATTTCTGGGTGCCATAGCAGCCTTCATAATTTCTGTGCTGCATGTTTACAGAACTAGTAATGTACAAATAATATACAGATAATAATGTAGATTTTCCTTGGAAAGGTCACCTCAGAAAATGGTAGAACCTTTTTTTAAAAACTCTGCATTACATCACTTACTAAATCTACATCCTTTCTTTCTTCACACATACCAATACATGCCCTTATGTATATACAAACTTTTAAACGGTAGACTATAGTTTTTGAGGTAGTGTCTTGTAGTGAGGTTATTAGATTTGATACCTTGTGCGTTTATTAACATAATACTTTTGACATTGCAGATTCCTGCATGTTTGAGTGATTACAATAACTATTGAGCAGCAGATATAGGTGCCAAGTTCAATACAAAATTGGGGCTGACACAAGGGAGAGACACTTTTTTTTTTTTTAAATCGGTTTATAGAAAATATTTTAAAATGTAACCACTACTAGTGTTGAGTAATTTTCTGGTCTAAATGTGTAACACTTTAATATTCAGTCAGGGCACTAACAGATTAATCATGGTTAGAACTATCTAAAAGTACATTTGTACTTATGAGGTGGCAGTCAGTAGGAAGATGTGAAGAA